TATTTGGTAGAATGCTAAGGCTAACTTTATAAATGTTGCAAGACATCGATGTAATCTCGATGCACTGCTAAATGGCCCAACCTCATTGGACGATCTCATCGTTTAAATGAACAAGAACAAGGAGTACTCCCAGTCAATTAGGCACTAATGTTAAGCCTGCAAGGAATTGCTTACCGATGGAATGCATGTATCTGTACAACATTGCCGAAGATGGCATCGAGGGTTGAGGATTCGCACTTGTGAAGAGTAAGTAGGGGTTGGTAGTAGCCCTAAAAAAAGAAATGAAACTTGGAAGTGATTCCAAATAGCCAATTTTAACTATCTAATGAAATATGGTAAACGCAGATGTGTCACTCTGAGTGCCCTAAATGACAATCATGATAAACAGTTGGGCAAAAGAGTCTATGAAGAAACATAAAGTACAGTGATAACTTAATATTGCAAGCATATCATAAGCAAGTGAACTGAACTTAGTTAGTAAACGGTTTGAAATCAGAGCAGTCAAAAAACTTCAATATCATCACAAGTGAGAAGTGACTTTTTCTCACTTTAATGTTCCTTCTCCCCTCTGTGAAGCCCGATGTCAGCTAAAAGGCTAATGGTAACCATCAAAACGCCTAACATTTAATATAAATAAGTGTTTTATTGAATTTGCATTAGCCTATCCATTCCCATAGGGACAAGGGAACCTGTTATTCAACCAATTTCACAAGAAAGAAGCTCCCCCCATTTAGTGCTCCAAAATAGCGTCGAAATTTACTGCTTATCTTAGTATTAACTACTTCTCACGAATACCTTGGCATTTGCTCAAAGGATTGTCAAGGCAATAATTTTGATTGTTAACTGCCAGTCTACACAATCCTCTAGGACAGCTCATGTGCAAGCTCGTTCACATGAATATTTGCAGGTTAATTATCCGTATTTTTTACATCTTTCGATTCCTCAAACTCTTATTTTATAAGATTTCCAACAAAACCTTTTTTAAATACACGAAACATGAAGCTGAAATACTCTTATCCAAAAACGGTCACTCAAGGAATATACTTTAACTCAAATTACCCAATTAGAAGTAACTTATACACTGATAAAAAATAATGACCTCGATGAGACAATCTGATTGGTATTCCTTTGAAACTAATGGTAAAATCGCAGACGTGACTGGTTAAATTCATTAAAATGGACGTAATTAACATGCCTATTTATTTCTTAAAAAAATATTTTAAGGCCCGAAAGGTGGAACTATGGAATGGAGCCATGAGTCAGAACTTGGGCACAAATACATGGAAGAAGTAAATTTTGTCAGCGAATAGTGAAGAGACAATTTAGTTGATTTATAAGTGAAAAAAAGAATACGTAGCATATTCACTTCTATCCGCCAAGCAGAATGATAAGACAATAATTACAACCTCACGATGGGGGGTGTGCGATAGACTTACCTCCACGTGGTGCACCCTGGTCAACATATACTCATACGGCGAAAAAGTCTATTAACCGGCAGTTGACTTCTCACTTCAAACAACCATCACTCCCACTGTATGTCATGTTCGACCCCTATCACTACTCATCTTACCCTTTCTGAGCCTTTGTGTCTGTTTCTTTTACATCTTTGAAACACTCTTCTATTCCCCCTCCTGAATTCTTCTCACTTTGATGTTCCTCCTTCCCTCTGTGAAGCCCGAAGTCAACTAAAGGGCTAATGATAACTATCAAAACGCCTGCCATTTGTTATAAATAAATACAACCTCACGATGGTAGATGCATAAATTCAAGGTTAGGTAGTCACAGCCTCAACAACATCGCGAAATTAAATTTTACGTAGATGCCTATATCATAATTCAACCGGAAATAACTATTTCTGCCTTGCAAATAAAATTTAGCAATGACAGTAAGCATTATTTCGAGTTTAGTCAAAGTTCGCTGAACACGACGTAATAACATATATCTAAGCGAGTTGAAATAAGGAAAAGGGAAAGTTTTGAAAATCTAAAATAAAATATGCAAACCTGCCATACTCAAAGGAATCCACACTCTTACAACAGTATCAAGTTAAAACAATAATTACTCAAGGTAGTCAGATGAACAGAGTCATGGTCTACAACGTCGCATTTTAAATTTCAAATATGATTGGAGATTTGGGGTTACAAATAACTCAAAAGGGAAAGAAAACAAACAAAAAAAACAAAGATCTAAACGACATAATTTAGGACTATTTCGATTGGCAATTTGGAGGTAGGAAGGCAAAAAATGTTTCAAAACTAGCTACCCAAAACGATTGTCTTTTAGATAATGATATAATTGAATCTCGTAATAATATTTGTGCGTCTACAAATGAATAAGCTACTTAATAGAAACATCAGCCAACAGAATAAAGATGGCCTTTTACTAAATTTCCCCATGAAATTTGATCTCAACTATTAAGAACCCCTCTATAATTTTATCCAATATTAAATGAATAATCAAAAATAGGGGAAATCAGATCCATTTAAAGCCCAGACATAATGACAAACAATTAACCTCCGATCTCCCTCAATCTCAATTGGGGCACATTTCAAGGACAAATTTAATGGTCCCCTTTCCAGCCAATCAAATAGAGATTAGAACAAAAGGGGATGCCGACTTAGTCAACTCAAGCTGTCGCGCTTTTAATGCCGCCTCTTCTGTAGACAACTAGCTACTAAGCCCCATCGATTTCTTCCTAATTAACCACCCGGCGTTGTCTCATTGGTCGGAGGGCTCAGTCGCCTATAGGAAGGCAAAAGCTGGCAGTGTTTACCAAAAAATCGCATTGCCCTACTCACACGACTGCCAAGTCACCATTCATGTCGAATCTTGGACTCAAGTTATGTGGGGATCGATCGAGGTTTTCACAAGTGATACTACTTGGAGATAGAAAAAAGCAAGAATATGGACTGGGAAGTATATTTTTAAAATATGAGCAAATTTAGTAATGGGCATGGAATGTCACTCGTCATTATTAAAGCATTGTTGGTTTGAGAAAAAACAGGCGCTTTCCATTTTTTCGGATTAAGGGAAAATGTTTTACGATAATCTCAGATAACAACAACGATTAGCTCATAATATACGATTTCGTATTGATTTAAGGGTTAAAAAGAGAAGAGTCGTTTGAAAACCACACATCATCGTTATTTTATATTAGAAATGCACCGATTTTCCCAATTAGTAAATTCTATTCTAAAATTTTAATCAATATAGGATATTTAAAACACATATTGCAGAATAAAAGTTGATTGCCTTTCTAGATGAGCTAAAAGTTACACTACCCACAGAAGTTGAAAACATTTAACACCCACTTACAAGAGGACAACAGGACTATATTACTGGAACCGGGGTGTGCGATAGACTTACCTCCACGTGGTGCACCCTGAGCAACGTATACTCATATGGCAAAAAAGTCTATAAACTGGCAGTTGACTTCTGACTTCAAACTACCATCACTCCACTGTATGCCGTATTCGACCCTTTCACAGTACTCATCTTACCTTTTCTCTGCCTTTTTATCTGTTTTTCTGTCTCTGTTACATCTGTAAATCATTATTCTGCCCCCTCTCGACTTTTTATCACTTTGATGCTCCTCCTCCTCTCTGCGAAGCCCGCATTAAGCTAAATGGCTAATGATAACTATCAAAACGCCTGCCATTTGAAGTCAGGTAAAGAGCTAATGATAACTATCAAAACGCCTGCCATTTGAAATGAATCAATAAATATTACTGGAACCAACTTGCATCATGGTGGAAAGTAACTGCCCCACAACGACTCACTCCGACAACAAAATATAGAGACCATGGCCAATACTCAATGAACCCCCTACACTGCGAAAATAATACATGGACTACAGAATTGCAATAATAGGCAATATATATGGTGACAGCAGGAGTCGCTCCCTTCGCTCATGTCAGGGAAGGCAAAATTGGTTGTCAGTCAATTTTTACTACTACACCAGTCTCATTATTTGCCCACCTAACCCTCCCCATCAATAATCAGTCGTTTGCGTCGAAATGAAGCCAGATAAAATGCAAACATTCCACGCATTTATTAACAAGGGCTGCGCAAAGTTTTAATCGACATAATCCGCAAACTTGACTTGAATAAATGTTCTGTACGATTGAACTAATTTCGCTAAGAACTTTTGCCGTACACCAAATGCTGCGTTAGAAAACGTAGAATCAGTGACTAATTTCAGTTCACTCGTGCACGTTTTGGTTTTTTTTAAATTTAGGGCCGAAATTTTGTCCTAAGCTGTTAGTCCTAGACGTGTTGATCATTAACAAACCTCGCCGTTTTATTGCCTTGCGCGTTCATTAATCTTGCTTGAGGATATGACTGTTCTATTAGGGCACGACAGATCACGAATTCGAGTGGAACATTAGAAAGATCCCCTCGAAAGGAAAAGCAATGAAAAATGGTGGTCAAAATCTTTCATGAATGCGAAATAGACATGTTGGAAAGCAACTATGGAGATAGATCGGTATATGAGATTCAAGGAAGAAAGATCTGTGTAGAAGGCAACAGGTGGAGGATATCTTGCACTAACAAATTTGTCACCCTCAATTTCCCAGTTCTCCAAACTTATTGCATTACATTACGAGTGAAAATACGATTGAGTAATTCACCCAAATAGCCACGTACAAAATTAATGTACTGATGTACAGCAAAGTTGAAACATTTAACAAACCTACGTTTTGTTGAATTAATATTAATTTACTGAAAATACATATTTCTATTTCATAGCCATATAAAAAGTGATTACAGTTGCTATTTTAAAACCGTGTGTAAAAAGATTGGAAAGAGGCTTGTTGTGTGTATATTCTACAGTTATTTGGGAATTAGACCTGATACTAAGCATAATTGCAACACTCGTAGTAGTAGAGCGAAAAAAGCTGTGTGGTATAAGGTTTAAATACTATGAGCACAATTAGTTATTTTAGATTTAATTAATATAGGAATTAAAATTCCTTAGCAAATGGAAGCATTGCCTGTAATTATAGAGGGCAACCAACCTCTGTAATTTCACGTAAACTATCCAAATAGGCGAATTCCGTATCAAGCAACTCGGAAATCACCAAAGCAATCTTCTTCAAGGCCATACGGGATGCCTTTGAGGTGTCAGGAGTCCGAGAACGGGGATAGCTCCGACCCGAGGAGGGTCGGAGTTGGTCCAAGGGACGTTCTGCGAAGCTTAGTTGCTGTGTGAACATCGCTCGGAGTCGGAGAACATTCTTCAAGTTAGTTGAAGCTGAAAAGCAAAATAGTTACCATGAATTGAGTTGCATCGAAACAATGAAAGACACATCATTACGAGGAGATCACAAAAAATTGCGTTGGATATAGCAAGTGTGTGTGTGTGTATGTGTGTTAAAAATTGGACATTGAATTACTCTTCTTATTTCAAATTTGCGTCTGCTCAACGAAATGACGAGAAAGTATTTCCTAGATCTACAAATAAGTGAACTTATTACCGAAGGAGTAGGAGTAGGGAAATCGTTAGTTCCCACTCGTTAAATAGCTTCCCGAGCCTTGCATGTAGGACATGACTTCAATTTGATGCTAGCACAGCAGTTTCATATATATCGTGTCCTAATTGCTGTCAATTTCAATTACTTCCAATAGTTTAATTCTTACTGATCTCGAATCGTTCCAATGATCAAACCAATTAAATATTATTTCACAAAGATTAGGTTAATGGGATACATGTAGATAACTTTCTTAGACCAAATTAATCTCATAATAATAATAGTAATTATTATTATATTTTATGTAGTAGTTTCATTTAAAGTCCTTTATAATGCCCCATAATCATGAAGTAAATGAGAAAGTATAAATAACGAAAAGGTAACGATAGCTTATTGAGTGCAAAAAAATAGATTAAGAAACACTGTGATCTAAGCTTGCTGACTTTTTAATTATTCAAATACAGAGGAACAAAATTGATCTCAGGCACTTGCCTTTCAATCTCATACGGCTGAGAGGTGAAGCCTATTGGTACGTTCAATATATATGGTTACTGAATGCCTCTTCCTTATGTGAAGTTTATGGAATGAGAATGCACTGAACTTTTTCATTAATCTAACTGCTGTCTCAACGTCTGCTTCACTAAACCATATCTATTCCAAACAAATATAAAATTTACCACCTTAGTAAAATTTAAACTTTTCACACAACCAACTCGCTGAAATCTTCTTTTCAACAGGATATAGTTCTAAAAATATGATTTCGACTGCTCAAAGTCTTCAATTTGGTATACACAAAGTGAGGTAGACACATGGTAGATTGATGGTTTTTCATTCGTGAAACCGATTATTCTCGCGCCTAAATAGGCAATTACTTATTTTTGTCGAGAGCGTCTGCTCGGGGTTCAGCTTTCAAAACGGTTTGACATAAATAGCAGTAGCTGTTGGCTTCCAAGAGAGGAGGCTTGAATTCAGATGTATTTTACCAATTTCGCATTATGAAGCTTTTCCAAACTATTAAAACAGCTGTCACATATGATTCTAGTATAGGAGAGTCCACTAATTATTTTCTAAATTTCTCACACCACCCCACTCCCCCAAACTCCGACTGATTTTCAATACACAAGTTTCATTTTCTTTATCATCTTGATTATACCGCTGACTAACATAATAAGTATATGAGATCAGGTACAGTGACCTCCCTGGGGTCAAGTCTTAAGCAGCTTGTCCTGTTACTGTTCTGAAGGCATACAAGTGTGCGAAAATAGGCCCTGAGACCATATAAAATAAATTGAAAAAAAAACGCTAACCAAAGAGGAAACTGGATAAAATGAACTTCTACAGAAATAAAAAACAGACAAGGAAGTGTAAAACAAAACGAATTAAAGAAGAAGAAGAAGTAAAAGTTCACCGTTTCGTGAAATCATGACGTCATTCCAAATTAAAGAAGAGCCAATCGCAGAAAATTGTAACTTATTATAACTTTCAATCATAAACAATTGGTCAATTTTGAAACCAGTTTACAAAATAGGGGGAAAAATATTTATCACTCAGACATGTTTTTTCCATTTTATCGCTTTTGGTTGCCTGGATATACAGTCTACGACAAGCAAGTATATCAAACTGTTAAAAAAAGTTAAATAGAAATGTGCTCGCTCGTTAAATCAGACAAAAGAAGTCAGAGACTTGCTCCTCACGTTCCTGATGCCTCGTGGACAGCATGACCGCATCGGTTACCACTGCTCTGTAGAGTCCGCGAATAGGATGATATTTTCGTTTGGCGACCTTCCATATATTTGTGAAGATGACTCAGAATGCACACCAGATAACCGACACATTGAAATGTCTTGCTTAGGCAAAGGCTATGGACAGTGTGGAATCATGAACTATCCACAAACAAGAGCAGTATCTATCCAGGGGTTATCTCTGATGTAATATAGGTTGCGAAAATCAAATATTTGAAATTAGAGGAACGGAGGAAACAGTTTCTGGGCACAACCACTTCATGAAGGAATGATTTTTTCTTGGAAAAAAAAATCAACGGACAAAGCCTGTATTCTGACAGTACCTTTATAGGTGGGGGATTCTCACTCTGCATGTGCTCTGCAGAGGCAGCCATAGTCATTTTGGTGGGTTATTTCTAGCATTGGAAGACGGCTGACAACTCCCAAACTTTTGCAATATAAGCCCGCGAGACTGTGGTAGTCAAGTGGACAATTTTCCTATTCCGTTTGAAAAAGAAAGGGTGTATCAAACAGTTCCCGTCTTGCAACCGGAAGTAGATGGAGATACTTTTGCCTATTTTACTCGATTTGAGCCTAGATCTGATCATAATAGGTTAATTATTCCACTTGATGCCGCGTTTCAAAAGAGCAAAAAACGACTTCAATGCGCGTGAATTTCTTTTTCTAAATTTACACAGATCAACTGCAGTTTACTTGATAGGAGAAAAGTGAGCCAATGCTGACACATTTAGCTCAGAATTACAGCGCTGTTAAGTGGTAAAATCGACTTTACTATGTTGTTGCTGCTAATAATTTCAAGGAGACTCAACTTAACAAAAGTAACGCAATTTCCAAACTGTTGCCAGAAAATGTATCTCAGTGACTATATTGGAGGGAGGTAAGATATTGCGAAATCATTTTGATGAAAAATAGCAGTCTGCTTCGTGCTTCTCTAAGACAATTATTTCAAAATTACCGAGGCAAAAAGACCGTAAGTTTCAACGGACCAACAAAGAATGAAATTCCAGATATTTCGGACTATTATTAAAATTCATCGTATTCTGCAAGTTCTGACAGCTATTTTTGTCAAGGAATAATTAAATGCCAAAATAAAAAGTTAATTAAGTAAATATGATGGAAAAAATTTGGTATATAGATATCTAATATAAAGACAATTCAGTAATTAACCCATCGTATAAGTTAGAAGTGCATAAAAAACGCGACAACTCACGCCCTTCAAGCGGCAGTCCCTATTACAGATAATGTCCAACTGCTGAAGTCGTTCTCTCGAGCCATGGCCATCACAAACGGTCCGCGGCCAATCAGAAATCAGCTCCTAGCCAATTGGCTAGACGTGGGACTGACTCATTAAATGTTAAACAGCTGTTGGGCTTGCGTATGATTTACGCGTACGTACGTGTACTTTCCTCATGCCAATTCATGTCTAGCAACATGCCCCCCCTCCCAATCGCCCGCCTTAGTTTCAATGGCTCCCAAACAAAGACTCGCCTTTGAATGGCCCAGTGGAGTTGAATTCTTGAGGTTATTGCCGGGTGGATGTTGATGAAAGTTTCGGCAAGAACATAAACATCCATTGAAGACTAGTAGCTGTTATTTAAGTTTAAGACGACAATAAACATCTTAAGCAAAAGGCTATGCAGTCGGTGGGGGGGGGATGAGTAGGGGCTGCTTGCTAATTGTTATTCGTCTTCCCCTGCATTCGTTTTTCCAAATATCAACATGGTTGGATATGCTCTATGATCTTTCCATAACCTTTATTTTTCATCTGAAAGGAAAATGCGTAGCCACCAATGAATCGTCCAAATGACTTAAAAGTAGGCCATAAACAACAATGCACTATAGGCTAGTAACCCAGTGGAGGAGGTACGTATTGAAGAGGGTTAATACTTATAACTAACTTCAAATAATCTTCACCCCTACAATTTGAACACCTTCAGGCAACTGGGGGAGATCATAATATTATGATTGCACAAAAATGGCCAAAACTCAAAGTAATTGAAATAGCTAAAAGAGTTTGATATAATATATCTACACTGTTAAATGCATTTCTCTATGTCCTATGTTGCCATAGTGACGATTTCTGCGGTAATTTGCAAATATTTGCACATCTAAATGATGTAAATTAATTATACTACCACTGGATGTTCTGCTAATGGTAATGAACTGACCTTGCTAGCCTAAGACGCGTGTACGTTTAGAACTTGGAATAATTTTTTTCAGAGTAGAATACTGAACGACCGAAAACCGTAGCTATATAACTGAGTTAAGATCAAAGGCACCTTTTGCATCTTTATTCACTAGGTTAAGTTAATTGCAAAAAAATAATTAAGTCGCAGTTAGGACAAAAGAGAGAGTGAGAGGGGGGGGGTGAGAGTTCCAGCGCTTTAAGATCTTTTCAACTCATGTCAATGATCAGTCAGAACGTCACAGTAATAAATATTCTAGCGGTATCACTTTTTGAAACGAGATTACTACGTTAGTTTGCATAAACTGAACTCGATTCGTGGACTTCTTAATGTAAAAGGATGTCATTGTGACTAATCCTGTACTCTGTCGAACACTCGAACGTCCTTGTACCATTGCATTCGAAATCCCTCGAGCTAGATTGTGTGATATTAACCAGCCTATGTGTTTAAAAGAGTTGCAGCGAAGGTGCGTTTAAAAAATGGCTATGCAAAATGGAAAGTGAGGCCTTTGGCCTTGAAACTAAGATGCCTCTGTAGGTAGAGTTGCGATTTCTTTCTTTTGCCTTCAAGTTCCATTAAAGTTAAATGACTTGAAAGTTGGACTTTAGCTTGATAAAGTACTTTTTATTTCTCGGTAAAATTACGTAATAACCTCACTTACTCGATCAAACACTCATTCCTGAGTTTTGTTCCCGTTGCATTTTTCATTTATAACTAAATTCAATCTCCGGGTGATAAAGTCGAAATAAAATGTAATGACTGATTTATTTATTTATTTATCTCTCCCTGTTCTTGCAGGTCTTCCTTTCCAATATTG